TTAAATTTTTAGCTGATCCTAAGCATTGCAAAAATTTTGATCTTACATAGGACCGAAAGTTCGGATATGTCGAAATAATTTTGTCTGAAATCTCTAGTACAGAAACCGCCAAAGGTGCCAGTTGGAAATATTTCCAACCGGCACCTATTGGTCGGCACCAATAAGAAAAACCGACACCCGTGACAAAATAGAACCGTCACCTTTAGCTTTGCTCGAGCCAAAAAAAAAAGAGCAAGCTGACTCGAATCGAGCCGAACTCACCATCCACACTCCACCGCCGTTCCTCCCTCGAGCCCATCCCTACTCCCCTTCATCACCGCCTCTCGGATCCGAGATAAACTCAACAACAAACTAGTATATTCATCAAGAACTAGCGAATAGTACAAACCATTAAGAACTCAAGTTTGGGACTAGAACTCAACAAGAAATCAAAAAGAGAAACTCAAGAACACATGCCACCAGGGTTTCAAAAAAGAGCACATGCCGCCACATCGCCCGCACCACCGCTGTCCTCCACGCTCGCCGTCGTCACCGCATGGGGAGGGTGCGGCCGCTGCTGCCACCAAGTTGTGCCGCTGCTGCCTCTGCCAGGCGGGAGCCCGCTGCCTCCCCACTAGCTCCCCTGGCGCCGGATCTAGCGGAGGGGAGCTCGCCGCCTCCCCTCCTGCCGGATCTGGCGGAGGGGAGGGTGTGGCCGCCGCCGCCGCCGCCACCTCAGCCAGCCAGCCGCCGGTCATGGGAGGGGAGCCCACCGCCTCCCCACTGCCTCCCCGCCGCCGCCGCCTCTGCCAGCCAGCCACCAGCCATGGGAGGGGTGCCCGCCGCCGCCGCCGCCGCCACCTCTGCCAGCCTGCGCCCGGCCATGGGAGGGGAGCGACGCGAGAGAGAGGGAGGGAGAGCGATGCGAGAGAGAGAGAGGGGAGGGAGAGTCGGAGAGAGAAACACGAGAAGGGATGTGATCGATGTGTAGATAAGGACCGTGTGGTGTGGACGACTAGATAAGGACGTTCGGTGGGTGTGGACCGTGTGGTGCTGCTGAGTCGCTGATGGCTCGGCTCGTCGGCTCGGCTTAAGCTATAGGTGCCGGTTAAAAAACCGGCACCTATAATATATATGTGCCGGTTTTTTCGCTAGAACCGACACCTATAGTGTTTAAAGGTGTCGGTTCTATATTTTTCCATCACAGGGAGGTGGGAAATTGTCTATTGGTGCTGGTTTTAAACCGACATCTATGAGCCGATCCCTACGAGGGATTTTGCTAAGTTAACAAAAAGTAGGAAGATCTGGAGAATAGTTTCCTATTGGGGTGTGGGTGTGTGTGTGGGTGGGGTGGTGTTCCGCAATTTTGGACCCTTCTGAGAAATAGCAAAAATCTTGAATGAAATGGATGAACGTGATGACAAATTGAATTTAAGTGGCCTCAAAACGAAAAACTGAATTGTACATGAGAATTATATTACCATTCAACAAACTCTTTACACAAGTACCTGGAAATGGAATCTCAGACTTGGATACATGAAGCTTATGTCAACTTCTTTACGTGTTATCTTGTCGATATAGAACAATAAAGTGCAGCATTCCCTATACGATAATACATGCTTACAGGCAGTAATTAATAAAACAAAACCTTACCTAGCATTGAAACGAATGTTGACTTAACCATATCAGTATTGTATATAGAAGTCAACTGATATAGCCCATACGTGGCTGGGACACGTAGTTGGATCAACAAGAAAGGGTATGCATGCATGCGCGCAAAATCTGGTCTGACGGACACCTCGTTCCTCCTGCACAAGTAGAAAGGGATGAAGCATCTCCAGTTTCTACTATAAATACATCACAATATTGACACAAACTCAACATCCAGCAAAACCAAGCACACAAACACATACATTTGCCCAAACTTCAACCATGGCTCTCAAATCTGCAGCTCTTCTCGCCATTGTCATCACCATGAGCCTTCTCTCAGTGGAGGTCGCCAATGGCTGTGGTGACACGAGCTGCTCAAACCCATCCCCACCACCGCCGCCCGCTGTGCCAACACCAACAGGGGGTACATGCCCCATCAATGTGCTTAACCTTGCGGTGTGCGCTAACGTGCTCAGCTTAAATGTTCCTTCCTCGCAGTGCTGCACACTGCTTCAAGGGCTCGCTGACCTGGATGCAGCGCTTTGCCTATGCGCTGCTCTTAAGGCGAATATCCTTGGTGTTATCAACGTAGACGTTCTAGTTGATGTCACTCTCATTCTTAACTCATGCAACAGGACATGCCCTCCTGGCTTCACTTGCCCACTCTAAGTATATATATATATGCACCTCCTGAATGTGTTTGTTTTCTCCGTTGTTGCTGTTACCTTCCAGTGAGTGCTATGTAATATCGCAAAGCCTTATGTGCTTATGAATAAATGTTCCCTTTCCATTGAAAGAATGCATGCCTTATTTGTGCACTGTTGGGTTGTTTCTTTGTATTGTGTTGTACATGTTGTGTATGCATTTTTGTTCAACTAGATAAATTACTAATGTGCTTATTGTTTAGCCTCGGGAAGCACATTTCATGAAAATATATATGGCACTAGTTGGACTAATTTGCACATGAAAATGAAATAAATGGTACCAATGGTTTGTTTGCTAAAAGAGGATTGAGCTTGCAAAATTTCAATGGATTTCTTTTTGTGCATCCTAGATCTACTATAAATTGTAAATTAGTTCCGAACTCATTTTGTTTTTTTAGAAGTTCAAAGGACTGAAAAATCTAACAATTAGAAAAAAAATGTGCATCCCCTAGTCATGCTATCATGATGTGGCTATATGGAAAAACAACTGGGATGCAATTGGTGATTCGATGTTGAACAACCACATCAACAATTTAGACAAGACAATGTCGAGAAAGCTACTACCTCCATCCCAAAATATAGCAATTTTTTACTATGAATCTGGACACATAGCTAAAAATGCTTACATTTTGGGACGGAGGATACTCGATACCGTAATTGATGGGGACGAGGCTGAGCCGCTGATTATGCATGTCACAACTGCGATGAGACTTGTCGGCATCGATCACCGTCACCGGTGGGATTCCTGTGCCACCTCACGCAAAACCATGTATATGCGCTGCCCTATTCTGGACTGCACAATTGAAGGACAGGAGATATAGGAAATTTGGCAGTACAAAGGTCATAAGCATGAGCTTAAAATTTGGCCACAGTAGGAAAGATAAAATATTGTAAACTGATAAATATTCCACCTTGTTTTGAATTAGATTTTCTCCGTTCATAGATGGTTCTCAGCCTCCTAGGTGTTTGTAGAACGAACCCAGCATAGAGGTGTGTTCTCTGAGCACAGACAATGACAAAAGTGGGGTGGAAAAATTCGCCTATGCATGGACCTAAGCGTGATGGCTATTTGTCGATCTGTATACCAGTCAGTTGTTGTCACAGCTGGTCTTCGGAACACGTGATTTGCCACACAACATTACCAAGGAGATCAATCAGCACACTCGCAGCCCTTCACTGCCGAGGAGATGAAGCAACACGCAATTCACGGGATGAAACGATGAGTTAAGACTACAGGCTCCCTAAGCCAAGTCAGTCGCAGACGTCGTTGCCATTCCCATCCAACTCTACTAGCCCTTCCAAACCCCCCTTTATTTATGTTGTCGCTGCAGTCGATGTTGCTATTGACAACAACCATCTCATAGTTGCCATCGATCACACCCAGATCCAGAGGCCCTAAGCTCGTGTCAGCCATATCTGGCAACATTGAGCACATGCTAGTCATATAAGGCCCATAGTCGCTAATGTCTATGCTCAGAGAGACAAAGGAGGGGCTGGTGCCAAGACTTAGGAAGTTAAGGTGTCTATGCTTAGACATGGGATATGAGGGGTCCGATGGCGGGGATGGGGAAAAGGAGGTGGCAAATGTGAGTATAGGGAGGAGGGTGTGGAAGCGGTGCTAGAAAAAGGGGCATGTCGGCTGGACTTGGGAAAGAGAGGATGCGGCAGTGGGCGAGCAAAATGTAGGTGGTGGGTAAGAGCTAGAGAGATGGGGAATTTGGGAGATAGCGACTTTTAGATGGGATAAATAGACAGGCACGGTTTATTTATATTTATAGCTGGCGAGCCGGCTTAACCGTTGGTTCATTCTTGAAACTGCCTCATTGCCGGTTCAATTTCAAAATATGTTTTTTACAGAATGGAACTTTACTAAGCGGGCAGTCATAATGAGAATGATCATGGAAATGTAATACAGTATATATGGTTCATATCACAAATAGTTATGAAATACTTTGCTATTGTCAAATGATCATTATTTAGGGCTGTGATGTTTCCTGATTGGCTGAAATTAAATTAGTGTTAACGTATTGTATATTTTTACATTATTATACTACTTGAAAAATTATAATAATATATTTCATATATACAATACAGTTTGATGAATCGGTGAAATGCTTACAACACATAATGTCTTTAATCAAGATCAAAACAATAGCCCTTGTATATACACTCAAATCAATTTATCAAATATGTTAGTTGTAGAACAATGTCAGAGTTCCTTGTACCATGATAGAGGATACACCATCCTGTCATAAATATATATTTGATGTTTAGAAAAAAAAATATTCGGTTAAACTTTTCAAACTTGACGCGACCATATTTTATATTAGAAAAAGATTATAAAATATAAAAAGTTTATGATATATATATTATGATAGCGGTTTCCTAACAAATCTATGCAAAACATTTTTTTAAATAACTAACTTTCAAACTTATTGATGGCCAAACTTTCAAACATTTGTTGAAGCCTTACGCTAAACGTTACCAAAGAAAGTACTAATACAATTAATCATTTTAAACAGTAGCTTGCACACTGACTTAACCAGCTAAATATTAAGTTTTTCATAAAACTAAAGTCAACTGCTCTGATCTATAACATACGTGGATGCGACACGTACGTGGCTAGATGTATAGGAATAATTTGCATGCATTGCACGCACGTATTCGTTTATAGACACCTCATTATATTCTGATCACCTCCTCCTGTGAGCACAATGATCCACAGTTTTTGAATGCTACCATGCTTCACTAGATTTGTCTATAAATATATATATCTCACCTTAGTGAAGCAAAACACAAAGCTGATAGGTAACATGTAAAAGCTTTGTACTCATCTAATAGAGTAAATTACATCCACGGTACATCAACTTGGCAGGTAGATGTAATTTGGTGCAATAACTTGAGAAATAATCATTTACAACAACTTAATAGGTATGTGCAATTTAGTATAAGAATTTTATAAGTGATCCTATAAATACAACAACTTGCAAGTTAGGTACGATTTTCATAGAACAAATAAAAAGGTTATGCGGCAACTTAATTATTTGGAGCATTTTTTATATAAATTCATTTTTAAGTACTTATTTTGACAATATACTATCATGGATTTGTATAAGTATATTTATATTTTTATCCTAATAACTAATAATTAAAAGTCAATTAATCCGGATATAGAAATTATTATATTTTGGTTGATATTTGAGAAGGTGAAGAAAACTAAAAAAGTTCTTAAAGTAAATTAGATGTAAATTGTACTACATAAGTTTTAAAGATTAAATTCAATATTATAAGATAATATCCGTATGATTATTATGTAATGGCATATTGACATCGAGAAAAAAAACTCACCTAGCATATGCTTAGCCTAGTTGATGCACAAAAATACTAAATTGTTAAGTTCTTGTACTAAAACGCACCTACTTGTCAAGTTATTGCACTCGGACGTTTAATTCTCAAGTTCTTGCACTATATCGCACCAATCTGCCAAGTTGTTATACCATGGGTGCAATTTACTCACAATAATATAACAACTTTTAGCATTCAGGATTTATCCTAAAACATGACAACTTCTCTACCAACATTCTCTTCCCAACTTCACTAAAAAAATTCTCTTTCCAACCAGTCACAACCTTCCACCATTCACTTTTTCCACCGTCATCTACTTTTTAACCAATCACAGCATCTTCCAATTTAATTCCACCTACTTTTTTAATAACCATATCCAACTGTAAAACTTCTTATATTCTGTGGCAGAGGTAGTAGCAATTTGCACACCTTTCACAAGTGTACATACGCAACCATCAACCTTTTGGTTCAGCATCCCTAGCCCTTGCAATCACCCTAGGCCTCCTCTTCTTGGTTACTGTCAATGGTTGTGGTGATCAGACCTGTTCAACATGTCACACTCTAAAAATATCCTAATTAAAAATTAATGTGGAAAATCAATTTCTAGAAATCATTTAATAATTAAAGGAAATGCTTGAATAAAAATCAAAATTTAAACTTCAAATTGAGCTAGATAAAATCTTATTAAATACTTTGCATTCTCTAATATTTTCTGCAATATTCATGAATCATTTTGAGCATGCTGAGTATTTTTTAAAAAATGAAACAACATTTCAGAAATTATTTAAATTAAAATCATTCTCCAAAGTCTCGGGTTATTTTTGGCTTGTTCTTCCTCTTCTTTTCCCACCAGCCCACTTCCATAGTTCCACCTCTTTATTCTTTTCTCTTCTTTGGGCTACTCCTTTTTCTTGTTTGATAAAAGTACAGTTTGGGTCCCTCAAACAAGTGTCGAGTTTCAATTGCATGCCTAAAAATCGCAAAACCAAATATAGAGCACCTCAACTTATAAAGCAGTGTAAATTGAGTCCACTGTCTTAAAACCAACAATGTATTCCCTGAGTTCAAACCATTGAGAGGATTCAATGTCTCTATTGAGAAACTCACAAAGAGCCAGTCTTTTTTAACCCTATCCTCAATATTGCACAAGCACACTTCTCTTTCATTGGTAGTATCTCTTACCTTGTGGATCCTTCAAACTTCTTTTGGTGCCCTACCCGTGAATGGGTGTTCAGATGATGCTACAGGTGTCCTCGACCTCCAAGAATAACATATCCTACATAATCGTTTGGAATCAAAACCTAGTGTTCAAGATCCATGAGAGAAGAACAATCACTAGATTCAAAACTCCAAATCCGTATCCAAATAACAAAAGCAGAGAAGGGTTCGAGAGAGGCGGTGAAAAGAGCTAAAAGCACTCCAACATCATGCTTGAAGCCAAGAATATTTTGAATGAAGCGAAAGACTTACCCTAGTATAGAGCCAGTGAGAGTTGGGACTTATATAGGAAACCCTAAATCTGCCCATTATGGGGTGGGAGGATCTTTCATCACCCTAAATCTGCCCATTATGGGGTGGGAGGATCTTTCATCACACCTCGGATATTCTGACTTGAAGGTTATATATTCGATCAACATATCAGGTCTCTAATGTCTAAAACATAATCCCATTCCATAAAAAAAAAATACTGATCAGATATTCCAATTAATAATTGGAAACTCAGATTGAAGAAATAAATCCAAACAGAGACTTGGGTTACAAGGAAAAGTGAATATTTCGACCATTTGATCTTCAGACTACTAAGTTTCAGACTACTAAGTTGGATATTATAATTCATAATGTTGCCTCGACCTGAGAGCCAATTTCTTTGCAATATCGGATTGCCTGGGATGTTGGACATTCTGATTCAACGTAAGAAGTTTTTGATCGAATGTTTGAAGTTAAACATAGATCCAGTTCCTTGCAAAAACATATAGCCTGATTGATCGGATTTTCCAATGTTACATCAGATGCTATGATCACTTTCAACAAAATACAAACAGAGCCTATACTATGATCACTTTCAACAAAACACAAACAGAGCCTCGAGTTCACCGTGAAAAAAGGAAATTATGATGCGTTAAATACTCCGACTAGTGTCAGAAATTCCGACCATAAATCAACTCAAACTTAGAGAAAACTTGATATTGAGCACTATATTCTCTGTACGTTATCTAGACTCAAGAAATAAATACATACAAGAATTACCATTGTCTAGGATCATGTCTTTTCTTCCATCAAATAACCCAGAACCCCATTTTCCTTTGAAGCACTCAGGCAACAGTAGAGCATTCTTAAAAATGTCATCATTAATCACAAAAATAAGTTATGAAGATGTACTTTCATTTGTGGCATAAAGTTTAATGGTATTTTATCTACCCTCATTAAAACAGTGTTGAAAGTGCACTGGCCTGTGCATAATATTTTATTGGCAGTAGGATTTGACTTTTAAACCCTGGTGGCCACCATTAAATAACCCGTGCTTTGCTTATTTATGGACCGTTTTAAAAGAGTGAAACATAAACAAATGCTAATACTTGATATCTCAAAATAACTTTAGTACTTAAAAAGCTTTTGTATTGATATAGTTTTAAGTATAAATGTTTGACTGACTGAAACAGGTAAAATCCAATATACAAATTGTGCAGTACCCAATGGGAAGTAAGAAAAAAAAACCAAGGCAAACCGAGAGGGAGTATCCGGAAAAGCTAATCTGCTCCCATCCCATGCAGTGGCGGGCCTAGGATTTTTAGGTTGGGTATTCGAAATGTGAAGGAGTAATTTTTTTAGCATGTATCACATAGTACTAAACTACAAATTATGTAACATGAATTAGGTATAATTTCATATAATTATATACTTGATTTAAACTACTAATTGTACAAATAGAAAGTACTAAACCGTCCCATAATATAAGAGATTTTGGCTATATGCATAGCCAAAATCCCTCATATTATAGGACAAAAAGGAGTATTTGACAATTGTTCAACACATAAGAGTGGCAATATGTGAAATATATAGATGATTGAAAATTGTGCAGTGTTTGAGGCAAGGGACTCATGAATTACTGATTTAGAATTCATGAACAATTGTTCAAGAGCAAGACCATTTTTTCTCTTCATATTTTAGACCTAAAAATCCAACAATATGGGAATGGGATTAATGCCTCTAGATTCTTGACCAATGGCAAGCCGGCCTAAATGCCTAACAGTACCAGGGTGACCTTATAGCTCTATTGATCAAGTCACACTAACACAATTTAAATCCGTAGCAAATAATGATTAGCGGCATTGGAACTACTGACAAAGAGATGGCGAGATGACGCGTTGCTGCACTGGGGGCTACGGCCCTGCCCGTCGGCAGTGGCCTGAGCCGCGACGCGCCGCGGATGGCGGACCTGCTCGTGGGGCCTGCCGCCCTGCGCCGGTCAGGTCCGGTGCGCCCAGCCGGCAGCCGGCAGCCGCCTGCCGCCCCACGAGTCGCGCGGCCGCGCCGGCGCCGCACGCCGCGCCTGCCGCAACACACCGCGCCGCACGCCGCGCCTGCCGCTCTGCTCCCGTGGTCTAGGGTTTGGGCATTAGGTGATTAGGGTTAAATGGGGAGGAGAATTGGAGAAAATATCGAAATGGGCTGATATGCGGCCCAAATAGAGTGCGGGCTGAGAGGAAAGGGGGAGGGGAGTGAGAAATTTAGGCCCAATTGAGAAGAAATGATGAAACAAGGCCCAATATAAGCAGTTTAAGGTCTCTTTTTTAATTTTTTGAATACATATACGAACTATAGAATATATATACCTATTTTTTGTCCAAAAATCTTGGGTATACATCTGAATACCCTTGAATACATACTGGGCCCGCCCCTGCTCCCATGTTGATGGTCGGCGCTCGGCATCAGGCTTTTGACTGTCCCTCTTATTCCTTTTCCTTGAAACTTCGATCTTTCTTTTCTGTGCTCACATTTCCTATATTGCTAAATGGTATATTTTTTTAAAAAAATTCTATAGAAAAGTTGTTATAAAAAATTATAGTAATCTAATTTTTAAAATAATTAATCATCCACTAATAATGAGCTAACTTGTTTTTAGTGTAGGAATAAGTTACTAACCATCTATTATATTATCAAAACAGTTTTGAAAGGAGGCACCACGTTCGCTGTAGGGCTAGAAATTCCTACATTAATCGGAGAAAAAGAAAAAAAAGGAGAGTCCAAGTAGAAATATAATTTAAAAATAGCTGAAATTCGGAATTAAAAATAAGCAATATTGAAAGTTTCTATATAAGAACCCAATACGAGATTAATCAAAATTCAAAATAAAAATAAAATAAATCCAAAATTAGAAAAGAAAAGGAGAGTCCAAGTCAATTTAAAAATAGCTGAAATTCGGAATTAAAAATAAGCAATATTGAAAGAAGTTTCCATATAATAACCTAATACGAGATTAATCAAAATTCGAAATAAAAATAAAATAAAATCTAAAATTAGAAAAGAAAAGGATAGTCCAAGTAGGAATACGATTTAAAAATAGCTGAAATTCGGAATTAAAAATAAGAAAAATTAAAAGAAGAGTTCATAGAAGAACCCAATACGAGATTAATTAAAATTCAGAATAAAAATAAAAATGAAATCTGAAATTAGCAAAAAAAAGAAGAGTTAAAGTAGGAATACAATTTAAAATTAGCTGAAATTCGGAATAAAAAAAAGCAATATTGAAAGAAGAATCCATATAAGAACCCAATACGAGATTAATTAAAATTCAGAAAAAAATAAAAAAAATATCCAAAATTAGGAAAACTAAAAGAGAGTTCAAGTAGGAATACAATTTTGAAACAACTAAAACTGAAAATAAAAAGTAAAAATATTAAAAGAACACAATACGATATTAACTAAAATTTGAAAAAAAAATCTAAAATTAGAAAAAGGAAAATAAGATTTGAGTTAGGAATACAATTTATAAATAACTAAATTTTGTGATAAAAATAAAGACTATTGAAAGAAAAAGCCATCTAAAACACATGACGAGATAAATTGAGTAATAGGGCCTATGAATGAGTAGAGTGGTAGCGGTTGATACGATATTAAAAAATATTAATAAAACACTAAATAAATCCTAATGACGATTAAAAGAGGGACGATAGGCAGGACGTGAAGCAAATGAGTAAGGTGGAAGCCGGGACTTCTAGAAAGTAAAAAAAATAAACCCAATTGATAATCATATTCGATTTTTAAAATCTCAATGATAATAAAAATGAGAAGCAGCGGGTGGGGTGTATAGGAGTATAGTTGTAGAGCCGCCGACGGTTGACGGGACTTCTAGAAAATAAAAAATGAATTCCAACGATAGTTATGTTAGATTTTTGGAATCACAATGACAATAAAGAGTAGGCGGTGGACGGGCTGTAAAGGAGTATAGTGGTATCGTTTGACGGGACTTCTAAAAATTATAAAAAATGAAACCCAACAAGATAATAAACTCTAAAAACTACAAGGTCCAATTTTTAAAGGTTTGGAACTTCTAAAAAGTAAAAAAAAAACAATGATAATCATGTTCGATTTTAAAATCTCAATGACAATAAAGAAGGGAGGCAGTGGGCGAGGCGTAGTGGAGTACAATGGCAAAGCCACTGACGGTTTGGCCGGATTTCTAGAAAGTAGTATTTATGTTTGATTTTTAAAATCTCAATGACAATAAAGAGAAGAGACAATGGACGGGCCGTAGAGAAGTATAATGGCTACATTTGATGGGACATCTAGAAATTATAAAAACAAAATCCAACGTGACAATAAATTCTAAAAACTATAAAATCCAATTTTTAAATATTTCCAAGGAGAATGAATAGAAATAGTGGTAGATCGAGCAAGCAAATAAATAAAGAGATGACATGAGAGGTAGCAACTGGTGTGACTTTTAAAAACTATATAATTAGAAACACGAGGATGATAATGTTTGGTCTTTCAAAGTCTGAAAACAATGGGATAGCTATTTAATAAATTTTAAGTAAAATCATACTTAAAAAATATATAATTTTGTTTGGGTGCTAGCCGCGCAATTGCGCGGGCCGCACAGCTAGTTACCTGTAAACACAACCTTTACCCACACTATAATCATTTAACACACCTAATTACATATTTGTTTTAATGTCCTGTGACAAATTTTGGTGATTTGAACCTTAATAGAGTCATACACCATACCCACAATTTCAGCACCATATATTACCATTAGTGTTTCCTCTATGAGGAGATTATTTTAAGTGAGTAAAAATATAAAATAAAATAGGAATTTACATTTCTATGAATTCATAAATATTTAATGAAAAAATTTAAAATTAAATAAATGAAGTTTACAATGGTGGTGTTTGAATCTCCTGAAAATGAAGATGAAGATAAAAATTAAGTGTTTCACGCAAAATAATGTTATAATAATGTGTGATTAAGTTTTAATTATTACAAACTTGAAAAATAGATTAATCTTAAATTTTAAATAACTTTCATATAGAAAATTTTTGCACGAAACATACCGTTTAATAGTTTGAAAAGCGTGTGCAGTTTTGCGTGTACCGTTTAAAGATTATGCAGTTTTCCTAGGAGAAAATAACAGGGCCAATGTCTTGTACTCCAGAATGGAAGGGAAAAAAAAAATGCAAAGCGAGAGGGAGTATCTAGAAAAGCTAATATGTTCCCATGTTGATGGTCGGCACAAGGCATCAGGATTTCGATTCGACTGTCCCCCTTCTTTTTTTTTCCTCAAAACATCGATCTCTTCTTTCCCAACCAGCAAAGCAAATCAATCCCCTCTTCGCATCAACGCCATGGATGAGTAAGTAATCCCCTCTTTGCGTTGTTCGATTCGACCAAGAACTCCATTTCTTGAAATAAGATGCGCCAAGAACTCGATTCAGTGCTGATCCAATGATGCTTATCACGGACCAGATCTGACGAGCAGAGCAACGGCGGCGGCGGCGGCGGGCACCGCGGGTACGAGTGGAAGCTGCCGGCGGCGCTGTCGGCGAACACGACGAGCGTGCACGTGACGGCGCTGGACGGGGTGGTGAACGTGAACTCGCTGTTCACGGTGGCCGTGTTCGTGGGCCTCTCCCTGGCGGACCCGGGGGAGCTCCGGAGCCTCGCCGGCGACGCGTCGTGCGACGCCGGGCAGGGGGTGGCGCGGTCCCTCCTGGTGCTGGAGGTGGTGGCCTTCTCCTCCTTCCTCTTCTCCAGCCTCGTGGCGCAGGGGCTCAAGCTGGCGCTCAACCTCATCAACTCCAAGGACCCGCACGACACGCTGCACGCCCACATCGACGCGCGCCTCCTCCGCCTCGGGATGCTCGCCTCCGCCGTCGGCTCCGTCGTCGGCTGCGTCTTCCTCATGGTGTCCATGGTCATGGTCGTGCAGATCCGCCTCGGCACGCTCGGCTGCGCCACCAACCGCGCCGCCGCCAAGGCCGCCGCAGGGCTCGTCGGCCTCGTCACCACCGCGCTCGCCGTCTACGTCGGCACCGTCTTCTACACCTTCACCCACTGAACAAGCAAGCAACTGGCATGGATGTTTCTTGAGTTCTATGGCATTGTCTGTAGTAGAATCTTGCATCTGCTGTTTATGTATGTATTGTGGACTTCAAAATGTTGCGAGATGAGGAAGTGGAAGATGTTGGTGATCCGACTTTTATGAATCAACCTGCAATATGTTTGCGATTCTCATCCCAGGTCGTTTTGAATTTCTTAAGTTGGCACTAGATTAATAGTGGTGTAGACTGAATTTTGATTTTGGATTGAATTTTAATTTAGACTGAATGCCTGTAATGTAAAGAGGACAAGCTCTAGATGTCATGACATATCCTCTGCATTTGTAAGTCAGGAATTAGGACATAAGCTAAAGAGAACAGGTGAAAATCATTCCCACAGGTAAAAGAAGTGGATGGTTAGCCTGTGCTCAATCAATCAAAAAACAACATGTCACCAGCTGTTAAATCCACTACGCTATGACTATGAGGAAATGCATGTTAAATTGTTGACTGCTGCTACATGAAGCTGAAGATGGGCGATTGCTTGCTTTGACTTGAAGAGGATAAAGGGGCATGCCGCATTAATTTTCTTGAAATTGCTAGAAATAATTTTGGGAACTACCTGAAATATATACCACTGAATGGTTATTTGGGGGTTTGATTTTATAATCAGTTGTTGAACTGTATGTTTCTTTATCCTGTTTTCCTTTGTGTTTTTTCTTTGATTTCAATTTCCTCCCTCTGTTCAATGAAATGATAGCTTTTACTAGGACATTTTTTGGGTCTTTCACTTGATTTATATCATTCGGATCAATACATTTTGTCTCCGGTTCGTTCCAAAGGCATAGCATGTGAAAGGGCATGTATCAAATCTCCATAGGAGTGCATCCCCAAGGTTCTAAGTTCAAATCTCCATTGGAGTGAATTTCAGATTAAGTTATTTGAGGGCTAAGTTTCCTGTTTGATGGGCTAAGTTCCCGATTGAAAAAATGTTGTATATATCCGGTTGGATGTAAAGGCCGGGTAAAAAATTACTCTTCTCTAAAAAAAAAAAGTAAGCTCATAGCAGATGGAGCACATCCTCCTTGACAAATGAATGAATCTTGCTGAAATTCCAAATCTCTGGAATTTGTTTGGCAAGCATCACCAACAATATCAGATGAGGAGAGGACATGCTGCTAATGCTCTGCCCTATGCCCCTCTCGCTTCTCTTTCCGGAAGAAAAAAGCCACATCTTCTGGACGGGACCCCAACTATCGGCCCTATAGATGGCCATAGGCCCGACGCCCTGGCCCATGGCATGGCCATTTGGCCTGGCCCATGTACGACACAACACGACTGGTGTTGGGCCCGTGCTGGCCCGGCCTGATAGTTGGGCCGTGCCTGGTTGATGCCTTGGCACGGTGGGCTGGTCCGGCACAGCACTGTCAAAGAAAAATAGTTCAGAGATCTAAAATAGACTTAATTTAGACATATAAGACATGGCCCAAAGAGCATAGATTATGCAAAATAGACTTATTCTAGCCATATAAGGCATAGCCCAAATAGATGAGGGAGGAAAAATAGACTTATTCTATGGAGAAGCTCGATGGGTTGTCGTCCTTCGGCCAGGCTCGGCACGGCCGCACGGCTCGTGTCTTATCGGGCCATACGTGGGCCTTTGGTATAGCTTGTGGGCAAGCACGGCCCGGTCCTGCGTGTAGGTTGGCCCGTGGCAGCCCGATTGACCTCAGCACGGGCCCACTCATACCTGGGTCGTACCGTGCCGGGAGGCCCATTTGGCCATCTATAATCGGCCCCATGTGGCCGTCCAGACGAGCGTCGGTTCCCTCGCACACGCGTCAGCTAATAAGAGGTCCACCTATACCTATTGGATTCTGGCAAACCTGCTAGCTGAAGAAGTACTCCTGTCTCAACAAAAAAAGACCATCTCTAGCATCCCAAGGTGAAATTAGTGAAGAGTAAAAGCGACCAAAATGCCCCTCATCTATTATATACTAAAAGTCCATTAAACTTTCTACAAACGCTCTTAAGCCGCCCGTTGATACGAAAAATACACACTGGCCTGGAAGATCTGCTTAATTTCAGTGCAGGTCCAATCTTGCCTTTAGGTTCGTGAGCGTGCCAGTTGATTTGATCCTACAATCAAGAAGAAAGAAAGACAAGAAAACCTTGGTTAAATCCATAAACGATAGCCGATCGGCCAGCCGCCGATGACATATTATTTATCTTTAAGCCGATGTCATATTGAGATCGATCGACAGTTATAGAAAAATAAGATAAGACTAAATCTACTTGATCGGCTGTAGATATTAATGATATACAATCCTTCTGTCGATATATATTTAAACCAAGTGATTGCGATAGATCGGTCGTAATGCCGAGACAGTATAAATCACTTAGATCGAAATATACATTAACACAAAGATTATAAACGTTTATAGCATAGCGGATCAGACTATGAGTCACAAAGATCACAAAGCTTACCTCTAACAAACTCTAAGATACCATAAGTCTTTGCGGTAGACTTTTGCCCAAACATATCTCTAAGAAATTTACACGAAATATCCTAATTAACAGATACAATTGCCTATCTGAGAGCTTATCTTCATCGTGGCAATCCCTGTGAAGCACTTTGATCGATTCTAGAAACAACCTTGAAACCATCTTCATCGGAATTGGCTGCATCACTTCTATCGGCTGTATCAGCTGTCCTCTATCCGATCCATCTCAGCCGATGCCTTCGCAGCCGATGCATACTTTGTTTTTTAAAACCATCTCTTTATCGAATCCGCCTCGATCCTAATGTCGAACCTGGTTCACAACTTACCAAATTTGGTCGTCAACACCGCCACATGACACTTCTACAAACGCTCCTAGACCGCCACATGGCAATGCGTAATCTCACCGTCGATTTTCATTTAAATCGGTGGGCCCGAGAATTTAGACCATTAGATTAGATGTAGTGACAAAAAGATATCAACCATCAGTTTTCATTTAAATCGGTGGGCCTGATAATTTATACCATTAGATTAGATTAGATGTAGTGACAAAAAGATATCAACCATCAGTTTTATTTTATTTTCAACCATCCGATACATTTTACACCGTATCCTACTCTACGTGGAAAAAAATTCCATCTATTCCATCACGTATCCTAAAGCAAAGGTCCACTTTGAATTAACTTTTCAAACTTTTTATATCTCCGTATATATCTCGTATCTCCAGAAAAGAGGGTGCGTTAAGCCGTTGATCACACGGTCACACGCTAATTTTGCCATACCCAACTTCTTCTACGACACAGCAAGCTGGCGTGGTTCAGTGTCCACCTTTTTCGCCATGGTTGGAGTCCTCTAGGTCATGTTGGAAATTTGGTCATAATTCGGTATATTTTAATCTAAAATATTAAGACAATAAATATGACATTTGTAATTTGAGTAGATCTAGTGACAGTGCTAGATGTGTACAACATGAGCATGCTTAATATAGAATAAGCACCAACATAGATAAGAGAACGCAATAATATTGCGACCGACAGATGTAGAAAATGAAGAACGAACGATAATAGTGAAACGTTATACCCCGAGAATGGCCCTCCGCTAGAGTTTGAGGCAGTATTGCCTCCGTTGGTGTTGACGAGAGGCTCCTTCTCCTTGTCTCCAGTGTTGTTGTTGTCGCCGGTTGTCGACATGTTGGTGAAGTTAATGCAGAGCAGTCGCGCTTGAAGCGCTACCCAAAAACTTGATCGCCCGCCTACCCGTACAGGTTCTAAAGCGAACGGAGTTTCGGAGGCACCTGCTTGTTCCGATCACCCGTGCACGCGAGATGAACAGAACCGGGGAAACAGAGAGACAGTGTAGGAACAGAAGGAGAGTATCGCCAAGGAACAATATTAGGAGGAAGACACACTCTTTGACAGCCTCCGCCTTGTGTTATATATAGAGAGAGATCTCCATTACCAGATCACAACTGAACAATGTCTAGTTATACCAGTGTTTCGATGGAGACTGTTAAGTTGAACTTCCACCTAGGAAAAGAGCTACACCATATCACAACTGAACAATGGACTATGCCTTGAAATGTCAGTCTTGTGCGATTCAGGTTTCACTAAAGCCTTAACTGGTACTGGGCTGTTGTTTGCATCCCCTCTGTTTGGAGCATATAAGTCATACTCCTGGCCTTTTCATGAGTATCTAGAGATCACCCAGATCTCATAGACTGTGACTAGCAGTCGGACTCATATATGTATGTTCCTTCTAAGATGTTCTGTAGGCCAACATCTCTGCTTTATGAAAAGCCACTCGGATCACATTAAGGTGTATACCATCCTACCATACAGATTAGAAGAGAAGTGCATCATGAAGATAAGCTTATTTTAGGGTGTCTTCTCTCAGCTACACAATAGTTTGTTTTGCCATCCAAATTCACGGGATCTCCGATCACAATGGACATGTTTCCACTATTGTGCAACTCTAAGTGGGTCTCAAGCCCATCTCCCTCGATGGACAGTCTATCACATTACGTGGTAGTCCCTTGGTAAACTGATCTGCCAGATTTTTAGCCGTCTAGACGTAGTCCAATGCTATCACTCCGGAGTTTTTCTGCTTTCTGACAGATTTCAATCTTCTTTTAACATGCCTGGATGACTTCATGTTGTCCTTCCAACTGTTCACTTTAATAATCACTGTTTGATTATCATAGTTCATCAGGATTGCTGGTACTGGTTTTTCAACCACTGGCAGGTCCATCAGGCGCTCACGAAGCCATTCGGCCTCAACTGTGGTAGTATCTAAAGCTGTGAGTTCTGCTTCCATTGTTGACCTCGTTAAGATGGTCTGCTTGCAAGACTTCTAGGAAACAACGCCCCCTCCAAGTGTGAACACATACCCAGTTTGAATCACTATAGCCCTCTAGTACTTTTGGGTACCCGGCGTAGTGAATTCCATAGCTCATTGTCCCTTTTAGATAGCACGCATTACTCTTTCAAGAGCATGCCAATGATCATCTCCCGGATTTGAAATAAACCGGCTCAACTTGCTCACAACAAATGAGATGTCAGGCCTCGTTGCACTAGCTAAGTACATCAATGAACCAATGATCTGGGAGTATCTCAATTGATCCTTTCCTATTCTTTGGTTTTTCCTTAATAGCACACTAGGATGATAAGGAGTAGGAGCTGCCTTGCAGTCACTATAACCAAAGCGACTCAGGACCTTATCCATATAGTGAGATTGCACAAGTGTAATCCTACCCTCATCTCCTCTCAGTAGTTTAATGTTAAGAATAACA